TTCACTTGCTACTGGCCTTTCTTTACTGGGACAACTGCGACCCCTAGTGGCTTGTGTTGGTAATTGCGTGTAGACTGGGTCTTTGTGTCTTGCCCGACCAGTGTGGAGGAAGCTTCCTTTTTGAGGGCGGGGCCTGCCTTAGGCTGGTTCTCTGCTTTCGCAGCGCCCGGAGGGGTAAAGGACAGGGTGCTGTTTGGCTGTTTACCTCCATGAGGGGTCTCAGAACTGTTGCACAGGGGGTGAGTGCACCCAGCTTTCCCTGTAATTTCCAGCCACTGGGCTGTGACCTGTGTTGTGCAGCTGTTACAGCCCTGTCCGTTTAAGACTTTCAAAATGCACTCGCTTTTCTTTGTCACAGGGGTGTCAGCTTCAGAACCCGCTCAGAGGTCTTGCTGCCCTGTTTCCCTAGTTTCCAGCCCTCCACGCATGCACTGTGTGTGCGCTCTGCTCCGGATGGCTGGGGCTGGGTGTTCAGCAGTCCTGGGCACCGTCTCCCTCCCGCTCAGACCTCTCTCCTCCCACCTGGAGCTGGGGTGAGGGGTGCTCGGGTTCTGCCGGGCCGGGGCTTGTATCTTACCCCTTTCACCAGGCGCTGGGCTCTCACACGTGTGGATGTAGTCTGGCTGTTGTCCTGTGTCTTCTGGTCTCTCTTTTAGGATTAGTTGTATTTGTTGTATTTTCAAAAATATATATGTTTTTGGGAGGAGATTCCCACTGTCCTACTCACGCTGCCATGTTGGCTCCACCTCCAAAACAGACCTTCTTAATGGTGCACTGTCAGTGAGTTTTATTGTGTGTCAGATACTGTTACCCTCAACCTTTTGGATGAGCATACACAAACGGGTGTGGGCCTAGCCCCTAGGCCTTTCATTTCTTGTTTCATTTTTTTTTGCCCATTTTTTTGCTCTACAAATACCATTTTCTGTATGTTTCATGACATGAAAAACACTGACCTAAATCTGGTTAGCGTGTAATAGTTGATTTCAAGTATAGTAATTTAGTAAGTAGTGTTTTCAGAAAACAAGTTTTTGTAATAACATACATAAAAGCAGTGAGCAAAGAACAGAATTTTGTCATAGGTTTACATTTCAATTTTTAATAAAAATTCCTGTTTTCTGTAGTCTAATGCTTTGTTTAGCATACTTTTTGTTATTAGATACACATTTTATGTAGTTTTTACATGGTCAGCACATCCACTTGAAATTATATTCATAATCTGACACACTTTTTCACTAGTAATTGTATTTTTCAAAATCTTAACATTTTATACTGATTTTTGAAAATAGTATTAGGATGACATAGTATCCACCTAATCATATTATCTGCTATAATCTGTCTGATATTGAAGTAACTCTTGCAGGAATTCAGTGAATATTATGAGTATTAATGGAAGAGGATAAAGGAATAATCTTTTGTCTTTCAAGGTTGGCTGGGAAGTTTTTGAAGCGGAATTACTTGTTTGTTGTGATTGGAGAAGTGGAGAGAGCATGTAGAGATGTTCAGCAGATCATTCTTCCAGTTGGCCAGTACTCAAAAAGAGAGAAACTTGTTGGAATTCTACTAACCACAGGTATCTTATCTTGATATAAATATTTTTTGCATGATTTTGATGCTTTTAAAATGACTAAATTTTAAAAATTTAGAATTCTTTGGCATGAGTATAAGTTTTCATTGTTTCTTCTTTCTCTAAAACTCTTTGTATAAAATGTTTTATTATTCAATTTTCTGTATAAATTACATAGCAGTATAGTTCTTTCTCCTCCATAGAGATTTAAAAATAGGAAGGATTTGAGACTTAGTTGAACAGTATTTAACTAAAAACTATTAGTAGAGAATAACATATGTATATTTTTTAATTTCAGAACATGGAAAGGATTAGTAATGTGTATTTACATGAAACTAATCCACCAAAAGTGGATTCTTTATTGTATTTCTGGTTACTGGTTTTTGCTTCAGAAGCATCACATATTCATAGATTCAAAGAATTTTAGAGCTGGAAGGGACTTTAAAGATCTGGTTCCTTTTGTTCATAATACTGTTAAGAAATCTACTCCTTTCCCATACAAAAAAACAATTTTTAAAGTAAGTTATATTTTTTTGTTTGATTGAGGTAGTCTTAGTTTGTACCTGCAAATAAAATGTTCTGATATGGCCATTTTAATACTTTGGTACCTCACAGGTTAAGTGTACTTAGGTGTTGTACATTTTCCCCATCCCTCAGTTTTCTTCTGTTTCAGTTTGAATGTCATTCTTGGGATTTTACTAGGGTTTATATTTTCCTGGGGTTCTCTGGAAAATTTCAAATGTAGTTTAGGTGGATTTCTTTTTCTAACTTTATGACCTGATTTTAAAAGGGCAAAAGCAAGAGCTGTCAGGGGGTAGTCGGAACATTTGATTAGTATAGGATCATTGGTGAATGAGAAACAATAGTTGGTTACCAGTTTAACTGAAGTGACAAGCGAGCATTTAAAAATAAATGTAGAGAGTTGGAAAAAAGATGGCAGCGTGAGAAGTGAGGCAGAAATCTCCTCCCAGAACCACATATAATACGAAATACAGCAAATAATTAATCCTAAAGGAGTGGCCAGAAATAAGATGGCACCAGCCAGTCTACATCTGGGAAAAGAGAACATCTCACAGAAAAGGGTAAAGTAACAAAGCCGCAACCCAGCGAGACCTGACCACTCCGTCACTGAAGCTCACCAGGAGGAGGAAGAGAAACAGAGTGGGGAGGGAGTAGAAGCCCAGAACTGCTAAATACCCAGCCCTGGAGATCTACTCTGGGAGCACAAACACATTGCGTGGTGCTCTGGAGATTAGAGGGCTTGAAAAGTAAAGTCAGAGACTGAGATTCCAGCTGCATGTGGAGAACAGGTTCCCACAACCAGCTGCTCTGGGACAAAAGAAAGGCGGGCACTTTGAAAGACTTCCCAACAGTGAGAGGGCTGTTGAAGGGGCAAGGATTACACAGAGCTAACTGCCCAGGAGAAGGAACAGGTGGAGAAAATCATCCCGGCACACTCAGCCCAGCAGGTTGGGAACTTTCAGGAGCTGCAGGTGCTCCATGCACCTGACTGGCAACGCAGCCCCAAGGACCCCCACCGCAATAAGCATCCTGCCACTCCTTCCTCCCTTCCAGCCCCTGTGCACAAACCTGCAGCCCCTGCCATTGTGCCAGGCCGGCTGGAGGGCAGCCCCACCTATGCACCTTAGGGGCTTAACACAGAGGCTATTCCCTGTGTGTGGCTTATTGGCCTTGACACTGGAGGCAGGCACTGTGGCTGGGAAGCAGCAAAGAGCTCTCTCCTTTGGGTAGTCAGTGGCACTGCTTACCTGTGACCCCTGCCATCACTCAAGGATTATGAAAGGGCAGAAGAACATTGTTCAATCCAAAACCCCTCAAACACCAGAAAGAGGACTCAGTGAAACTGAAATAACCAATCTTCCTGAAAAAGAATTCAAAATAAAAGTCATACGCATGCTAATGGAGCTACAGAAAAATATTCAAGATCTAAGGAATTAATTCAAGACATAGATAGACACATTGAAAAATAAAGTAGCTGAAATGAAACATACCATGGAGGGATTTAAAAACAGATTTGATGAGGTAGAGAAGATGGTAAATGGAATAGAAATCAGAGAATAGGAATACAGAGAAGCAGAGGAAGAGAGAGAAGAAAGGATCTCGAGGAATGAAAGAATATTAAGAGAGCTGTGTGACCAAGCCAAACGGAACAGTATTTGTATAATAGGGATACTTAAGAAGAGAGAGAAAAAGGGATAGAAAGTGTCTTTGAAGAACTAATTGCTGAAAACTTCCCCAATCTGGGGAAGGAAATAGTCTCTCAGGCAATAGATCTCCCAATACAAGGGACCCAAGGAAGGCAACACCAACACATATAATAATTAAAATGTCAAAGATCAAGGATAAGGACAGACCATTAAAAGCAGCCAGAGAGAGTAAAAAGGTCACCTACAGAGGAAAACCCATCAGGCTATCATCAGACTTCTCGGCAGAAACCTTACAGGCCAGAAGGGAGTGGCATGATATATTCAAAGTAATGAAACAGAAGGCCCTCGAACCAAGAATACTTTATCCAGCAAGATTATCATTTAAATTTGAAGGAGGGATTAAAAAATTCCCAGATAAGCAAAAGTTGAGGGAATTTACTTCCCACAAATCATCTCTACAGTGTATTTTAAAGGGACTGCTCTAGGTGTGCTCCTAAGGCTAAATAGCTGTCACCAGAGAAAATAAGACCACAGCAAAGTAAGTAGACCAATTAATTGCTAACCAAATCCAAAACTAAATCAGCTACCCAAAAAGTCAGTCAATGGATACACAGAGAGTATACAATATGACACCTACCATATAAAGAGTGGAGGAGGAAGAAAAAGAAGGGAATAACAAATCTTCATATTGTGTTTACAATAGTGTAAATAAGCACGTTACGTTAGACTTTAGATAATAAATAAGCTGCCCTTGATCCTTTGGTAACTACAAATCCAGCCTGCAATGGCAAAAAGTACATATCTATCAATAATCACCCTAAATGTAAATTGTCTGAATGCACCAATCAAAAGACAGAGTGACAGAATAGATTAAAAAAAGCAAGACTCGGACCCTTGTGAAAAAATGGCGGCATGAGAGGTAAGACAGGGACCTCTGAAAACCATGTATAATACAAAAATATAACTAATACAACTAATCCTGAAAGAGCAACAGGAAAGAAGGCTGCACCAGACTGCATACACCTGGAGGAAAGAGCAGACCTCATGGAACAGGGTAACGTACCAAAATTTGGACTCGGCAGGGCCCAAGCCCTTCCCCCACCCCAGCTCACAGGCGGGAGTTAGAGAAACTGAGCAGGGAGGGAGTGAAGGCCTGGGACTGCTGAACACCTAGCCCTGGAGATCTGCTCTGAGAGCATGAACCTACATTGCATGGTGCTCTGATGATTTAGTGGGGTTGGATAGCTAAGAAAGGCGGAATACCTGGAGAGATGGAGATTCCAGCTACTTGTGGAAAACAGGGATTCATATCCGGCTGATCTGGGTGGGCAGCCTGAGAGACTTCCTAAAAGCGAGAGGACTGCTAAAGGGGCAAGGATTGCACAGAGCTTACTACTCAGGAAAAAGGAAAGGTAGACAAAATTGACCAGGTGCACTCTGCTCAGCAGGTTGGGAGCTTAAATGATCTTCAGGTGCTCAATCCCCCTGACTGGATATGCAGCTCCAAGGCCCCTCACCATGACAAGCAGCCTGCTGTGTCTTCCTCCCGGCTAGCCTGCACCTGGCTCAGGCTCACAAATGGGCAACCCCTGCCCTGCCATCAGGTCAGCCAGAGGGAAGCCCTACCTACGGCAGCTACAAACACAAAGCATAGAGGCTTACACCTGTGTGTTCAGCCCACTGGTACTGGCAGTGGAGACAGGCAAAGCAGCCAGGAAGCAGGAACCAGCTCTTTCCTCCCTCCAAGCACCAATACCACACCACTGTGACCCCCAACTTTGCTACAGGGGCTGAGCAGCTCCAGAGAGTCCAGCTTCTGGGCACTAGAGGGCACCACAGACAAATTATGACACATCAAAGGAATCTGGTTCAAAGCGAAATTATTAATACACCTGAGAAAGATTCAAATGAAATCGACCTCATGAATCTTCCTGAAAGAGATTTCAAAATAAAATTCATTAACATGCTCATGAAGGTACAGAAAAATATTCAAGAACTCAGGAATGAATTCTGGTTGGAGATCCAATCATTGAAGAGCACAATGGTGGGTATTTGAAGCAGATTAGATACAGTGGAGGAGATGATAAATGAAATAGAAATTAGAGAACAAGAATACAAAGAAGCTGAGGCACAGAGAGAATAAAGGATCTCTAAGAATGAAAGAATACTGAGACCAATCCAAACGGAACAATATTCATATTATAGGGGTACCAGAAGAAGAAGAGAGAGAAAAAGGGATAGAAAGTGTCTTTGAGGAGGTAATTGCTGAAATCTGGGGAAGGAGATAGTCTCTCAGGCCATGGAGGTACACTGATCTCCCAACACAAGGGACCCAAGAAAGACAACACCAAGTCATATAATAATTAAAATGGCAAAGATCAAGGATAAGGACAGACTATTAAAAGCAGCCAGAGAGTGAAATAAGATCACCTACAAAGGAAAACCCATCAGGCTATCATCAGACTTCTCAGCAGAAACCTTACAGGCCAGAAGGGAGTGGCATGATGTATTTAATGCCATGAAGCAGAAGGACCTCAAACCTACAATACTTTATCTGGCAAGATTATCATTTAAATTTGAAGGAGGGATTAAACAATTTCCAGATAAGCAACAGCTGAGAGAATTTACTTCCCACAAACCATCTCTACAGTGTATTTTGGAGGGACTGCTATAGACGGAAGTGTTCCTAAGGTTAAGTAACTGTCACCAGATGTAATAAAAAGGGATAGACAAAGAGAACAGAGTATGATACCTAATATATAAAGAATGGAGGGGGATAAAAGAACCTTTAGATTGTATTTGTAATGGCATACTAAGTGAGTTAAGTTAGACTCGTAG